AGTCTAGTGCGATCCAGCCATTTGTCATGTCTGTATTTCTTTTTCTTTTTCCCCCCATATGATTAGGTTATGTTGGAAATATTATATTATGGAGAAAAATGACTGTCATCACAATCCAGGCAGCCTCTAATTATTAGGTAGACAGCATATTAGATGTTAATGGGGGTTGCAGGCTTCAAACTTCAAACTGCTCATGCAGAGACACTGTGCAGTAGCACTGGTGCCTGTTTGTACAGAAAGTAGAACAAAAATAAGCGTTATCATCTAACACAGCCACTCCTGTAATGCGTATCTCTTCGGCTGCTTTGTGCCACCTCGCTTCCTGACAAATAGAGCAAAGGTCAATGTGAGGTGCACAGGGACAGTATTAACCAGCCACGGTACAAATGTCAGATTGGAAATGAAGATCAGTAAATTAAAATGCTGGTGGAATGGAACGTAAATCCAGGCCTGCCTTCATAATGTGGCACTTCACAGTTTTGTTTCCAAGCAATCCAAAATAAATTGAATTGAGGCATTATGAGGATATGAAGGTGGGAGAACTTTAATATCTGCAAAAGTTCCATCAAAGGTATTATTAGTCTTGTTAAATATCACAAGGTCTGGTATAGATATATGAAAGAATGTGGCACAACTGTGCATAAATAGTCACACAAAGAGGCTCATATCAACTTATGTTACTAAAGTAACTGTTACTTTATTCTTACCAGTCAGACTTTAATTGCTTTTTGAGAAAATCCACACACTGATGACCATATTTTCCTTTACACTATAAACTGCTTTGTGGCTTTTTTCTTTTTTTTTTTTTAAAAAAGGTGGTGTATTTGCACTAGTAGTTTTTCCTCATGCATCTTTGTTTCAGACTGTCTCACTTGAAGCATTTTAATTTGCATTAACCTATACAAAAAGTGTTATGAAGTTTGATCAATAGAAGGAGGCCTTCTGCTGTCTGGAAGGTTTCATTGCTGCTCTGGATACAAAACAAAATAATTCTTGAATGCCCTAAAAAAAAAAAAAAAAAGTAGAGCAGAGCTCAAGGCTTTCAACAAGCTAACATATAGACTGGCTGTGTCCACACTGGGCCAGATCCATAGACTGAAGCCGTATTTGCCGCATGTTTAAGGGATATGAAAATTAATATTATTAGTAATTGTGTGTCTGTGGTTATGCAAGGGCTGTTGTTGTTGTTCATGCCCTCTTTCATGTGTTTGAGTGAGCCGGATTGGAGTCTTTGCTGTGCCAATTCTGGCCCTCGGGCCTTATGTTTCACATTGCTGCTTTAAATCATTTAGCATTTGTTTGGATGTTCATTATCTTCATTGCTTATACTATACAATAAACCATAATTTGTCCATTCTCATTAATAACTTTAAAACATCCTGGGGTCTGTTTTGTGTTTAATTTTCTTTTTATTATGGTAGGAAGCAGTCACTGTTTAGAAACTCAAGAGGGAGATAAGAAGGGTTAAAGAGGAGATGAAGATGATGTAAAGATGAAGGCTGTGATGGAGAGCACTGAGAAATGCCCCTGAGTGAAACAGATGGCGTGCTGTTGAGAAATGCATCAGCAGATTCTTGAGTTCGCGAGCAGATGTGCGCCTGAGCTCTGTCTGGCTGCTGACTTATCGACCCAATCCTTCCTTTCCATTAAAGCACTTGAACACTTAAGTCGAGCCTTTTGCTTTTTCTCGTTTGCCCAGATTGTGCAGAGCAGCCTAACCACTCTCCCTCAATGCTTGTGACGAATCAGTTTGGTGCTGTCTTTTCTTAAAGTACTTAAGCTCTCAGCACGCCTCTGAGAGCCAGCATAATCCTTAAGTGTACAGCTAACCTGTGATTTCACTGCACTGCAGTGGCCCCCTGTAATGCACCCCAACACAATCTGGAGGCGGTGTACTTGATTCCCTTCCCTATTAATGATTAAAGAGGGAGAAAAGGCAGTGTCACAAAACAGCTGAAGCAGCAAAGTAAATGGAGAGAAAAGTTGCTGCTCATTATTAAAAAACTTATTGCAGCACCTCTGACAGAAGGAATTAACAGTTAAAGTCTGCTGCATTGTCGATGCTAGAAAAGAAGTGTGGGCTCCCTGGTCATTACACATTATTCTGGAGCTATTCTTCTAGATTATTCAGTAAACCTGATATCTGAAGCAGAAGTTCTGAAGGGTTTAATTTATTATTTCCTCTGCAAGCTAGCAGAATACTTTAAGTTATGGACATGGTTTTAACTGTAGGATTTAAATTCACCATGTTTCTACTTGATCTACCCCCCGGGGCATCTCATCAGGCTGAAGAGGCGGAAACAGCTCAGGGGGAGCCAATCGGAGAAGACTGTGAATGAACAGAATCCGGAAATCATCTCCTGTTCCGACATTCCAAATGACAGTGACGGCAACAAAAAGGCAGAGCTACAGAGAGCGACAGGAAAGCCAGGTAAGATGGTGACAACACACATTTCAAAGTTGCTTCTCTGAATGTTGGAATATACCCTAAATCTAAGTGGCTGCTTTTCCTGTTGAAAATGGTGGATGGTCATGTCAAACAAGGCAAACATTTCAAATGAGAAGGTCATTGTATACGCAAGTAATCCATGTAACGCAAAAGCTCTAAAGAGGCATCCTTAATATCGGCATCTTGTGAACGCAGAAGCCTCACCCACCTGCTGGCCAAACCCTGGCCAATCAGATGAAAGTTGGCTTAAAGGGAGAGGAGTTAATAGTTTCGGAATATGAATGGGCTTAGATGGCACCGATACAGTAAAAGATGAGGAGTCCACGAATACAAATATGGAGTTGGAACATAGCATTTTAGTTACCCTCTGATAACATAAAGACTGTGCAGGCTGTGTGCACAAATTATACCAAACAGATCTGACCAGACAGATGCATCTGACAGCAAGTGCACTCATGGCTCAAAACACACACAGAGAATGATTATACAGTGATATGGAAATGATAAAATAATACTGTTTTACCTCAGGCACACAGCTAGACTCTGCTCCAGGTCAGTCGGCTCTCTGAAATGATTTCTCTGCCTCCTCAGATATGTTCCCAACTCTGCCAGCAACACTCAAACTGCCCCACTGACATCCTGAAATATGTACGAAAGCAGCCGTGACACTGCTTTAACTCAGCTGTGCCCTGCCATGACAATTAGATAAACCCAAAATTTCAGTTTCTTCCCTTTCTTTAGAGACATTAGGACCAGCTCATCGTGGCTTGATGTCAACTCGATTGATTTTATTTATATTTTTCTACGGTGCAAACGCAACATGTTCATTGTGTATGTGCATCACACTACAAGTGCAAATCTGAAAAATTCGTAATTTTGTGTGGGTTTTTGGGTTTGTTTGTTTTTTGCAATGCACTTGGTATATAATGGCCTTTCTCAGTAATGTTTATCATCTAATGCCCTTCATCAGAATCGGTGTAAATTTATTTATAAGCGCATTTAAAAACAACACAGGTTGACCTTAGTGCTGTACAAACAGGAAAAAAGAAAAAAAAACATGTTGTGTGACTTGTAAATCAGATTTGTGGAAGTCTGTAAAACAAATGGTAGCCCTTTGGCTGACAGAAGGCTTTGTGGCACAGATGTGATCTTTTGAGGGTAAAGAATTGAAAATGCAAATAAAACTAACCTTGCATGTCAGCTTTACAGTTGAATAACAAAATCTTATACGGAGGAAGTTAAACTTTCCCTTGCTTTTACTAATCATAATTTGAATTGCATTTTTCCAGCAGCTTTCAGAACTTATTTTTAAAAAAAGATTTATTTATTTTTAACTAGAGTTGTTTTACACTTGCAATATACACTGATTAATATCTGAGGATCCTTTGTGGTAAAACAACCTCAGCAGTTTTAAACGGGAAGTTGCATAACCTTTATCCTGTTCCAGTATACCGTTAAAGATGATATTCAGTACTCTGTATTCACAATGTCATTTAGTACTAAGATTTGACGCTACTCTTGGAAAAATGTCATTATTGATAAACAATATTGTGCCACCCATCATTTCTTTATATTTTGCTGGGTAATCTTAAGGTCCAGGCTCTCAGGAGGCCAGTCCATGACTGACAGTGATCCATTGTATGATTTAATTTTCAGGTATGCGTTTACTGCAATAAGTGTGTTTAGGATCAGTATCACACTGAAAAAGATTTTAAACCCAAAATTTTAAATTTATAAGTCGTTCTGTAAGACCTGTCACTGATTTTCAGTCGGGTACAGAAATGACCCTTGCACCGAGGCTCTGATGAGGCTTCAGTAAACAGTAGATGTATCAACTGTAGATTCAAGTAAAGAAATAGAACCAAATTGTTATGTTTTTGCAACAGGCTGTTAGAAACAGAGTGCCTAAGATAAAATTTAAAACTGGTTCTTTAATTTGTCTTCTATGTGTAGGCACAACAATGGTTCATTCCATGAGTTAGGTGTCGTTTTATGCTTAAATAATCCAAAGATCATTGCTAAGTTTAAAAGATTAATAAAAATCCTCTCAAATTGATCAAGTGCAAGGACAGGAGTGAAAACGAATAGAAAAAGCAAGAAGTATCTGAAGAAAAACTGAAAGACCTTCAGAAAGCCTGAAAAAACTATTGTTCAAGCCCACTGAAAAGATTATGAGGTCTGGCTGTTTGGAAGCAATATTGAAAGAGGGGTGATTTAAGGCTGTCTTTTCCCCCCCTAAATTTAATGGGCATCAAACTTTTTGCATGGTCGAGGTAAGCTTCTTATTAAATTATTATTGAGTCATTAAAATGACTCAGTTGAATTGTCGTTGGTGTGGCTTTTAAAATATGCCAGTCAAAAAAGTTGCGGTTGTTAATATTATTTTAACCAAATAAAACAATATTTAATAAGTGTGTACACTGCAGATTTTATTACAAGACATCCTGTGGGCCAACATTGTCTTGTGTAGAAACCCATTATGACCTGCAAAACAAAAAGTGACCATTGCAACCATTATGGGCAGTGCGTGTCATGCTAGCATGTTTTGCTGGGTTTCTTTGGCTGTGAAAGAGCAGTGATAACTCCTGTCACAAGTTCAGTGGGTCAGCCAGCTGTAAAAAGCCATTTCTATTATAATACATAGTGCAAATGTGGTATTCTTTAGTGTAAAGGGCAAGAAATACACACAAACAAACTGTTATGTCCCATTGACTAAAAGTCCTGCACAGTATAATATCAGTCACAGCCTGGTACAGGCTCGGTGAATAAAGTGACAGCGGCCTTTTCTTTGATGCTCTGTACAGTAAAAAGAAGCAGACGCAGCTGGAGTCTGGCCAGCTAATGCTTACTCATGCCCTCTGTATCCATGGCGGGGGCGGCAGTATAATGAGGCAGTCAGGGAGTGGAGCACTAATAGCCTGTGCTTTCCCGGCAGGAAGAAACTGCTGACTGTGGACCTTCTCTGCTACAAGGGTCAGATTATGTGTGTGTGTATATACAATAACCACTTCTGTGTTTGTAGTGTTTTGAGGCTGGATAATGATAGGAGATGAGCAGCTGGTACTGAATCACAGTCAGACAACTAAAGGCTTTTTAGAGGGTCCTCCCCCCCCTTTTTCTTTTCTTTTTTTTTCCTTTTTCTAACCCCAACCCCTGAAACATTGCTTTTTTTCTTTATTAACACAATTAACCCATTTATAAGACCTATATAACCCATTTATATAGCTCTTATAAAAAGTTTCTTCCTAATCATACTGTTATTTTACAGTCGTCCTTAGTCTACAGTCCTCTTTCTGTTCTGTTCTGTCAGATGATGGCTGTAAAGTTACCAACAAGGCAAAAATGGAAAAGACAAGGCCGCCGGGGACAGTGGAGTTCGTTGTGAGTAACATCATTTTTTTTTTGTTGTTGTTGTTTTTTTTCCTTTTAAGTAAGGTGCTGTAGACTTGCAAGGGAAGAGATAGAAAATTTCCGTTGTGTAGCATTTTGAGCTGTTTGCATTTAAAATGTCTCACATTTTTACAGAGGAGATGATTTGTGTTACAGGTGGGACGTGACGATTCCCTCAACAGCATCGCACTCAAGTTCAACATCACCCCAAATAAACTGGTCCAGCTGAACAAGCTGTTTTCTCGCAGTGTCTACCCCGGGCAGGTGAGAAAGCTGTGACACTAAGCATCAGCTGGATAATGTGTTAGAGCGGGTTTTCCACTAATTTCCACAAAGGAACACTTTGAAAACGCATATCTTGAAAGGGGTAGGGCGGCGATATCGGCTACACTGATGTGGACTAGGAATGAAAAGAATCTTCATCGTTTGAATTGAAATGAAAATGATCACTGAAAGTTAAAAGCAGATATAGAAGTTTAGCCTATTTATTATGTCATGCTGCTTTTTTCCCCTGTTCATTACTGATCATCTAACTATTGGTTATCCGTTATTACTACAGAAACTGTTTGTCCCTGATGTGACTCAGTCAGAAACTGAACTCAAATCTCCGACTTCCTCTGATCCCATCGCTAAAAACGTGTCAGAGAAGTCATCACAAGTAAGTCAAATAACATTCATTATATTACTTGGAGTTCTGTGATCATACACAGGACTTCAGCATGAACCAAAAAAGCTAATTTAGCCTCTATCATGTGACATACCATACACCCCGAGATAAGTATTCCAAATTATAGAACCTTTACCCGTATTGTGGCCATTCAAGGACAAAAAGATTGTTAAAGGGTATTTGAAGGTTTTGGTAGCATGTGCTTAAAATGCACTGTAAGATGTGTATTTAGAACTACATTTGCTTAAATTAGTTATACTTGAGGTAATTCTTGAATTACAGTCTTGTGCATAAGTCTTGAGCTGCTCCACTTTATATTTTGCTTCCAAGAAGTCAGTGTAACCCTGGTTACCCTTAATTAATAACAGTAAAGACAATATCACTGGGTCGGCAGTAGTGCGAGGTGTAAAAATCAGCAATGAAAAGCAACACCATAGTAAACTTTGCACAAGAATGCGTATTTGTATTTGCAGTACATCTGTCATACAGCAATTTATAATACAGACTTTCTTAATAAGAAAGTCCTTTCTAAAGTCTTTCAAGTTATCAAGAAGTTTTCAAGCTGCTTTTTTTTTCTTTTCCAAGCTGCTTTTTCACCCTATTGCAGTTCAGACACTTATACCTGACCATTCAGATGAATGTTTTTGTTTTTGTTTTTTAAGCCTCTTAACTCTGCGACCTGTACATAATTCAAGCATAAAAAGGCACCTACCTCAAGTGCTTAACCAGTGTTGTCTACACACAAGAGAACTTAGCAAAGTTATATCTTTAGGCACTTTGTTACTAGCAGTCTAGTGCAAAAACATGTAATTTGTTCTGATTTCGTTGGTTGAATCAGTTTTAAAGGTATAAAGATGGTAACTTTGTAACAACAAGGTGACTCCCAAAGAGCTGTTAGCAGAAAGCTTACCATATCTCAGCATGGTGTGCAGTGTGAGATTTGAGGGAAAATGGACAAGTGGAGGACAAAAAGTGACAGGCCTAAAACACTATCAACAGCAGATGAAGGGAAGTCAATAATTTTGGGGGGCAGAGTTATTGAGGAGTGGTAGAAGACCAGCAGCAGCTTCTGGTCCAAGTTATGTTTCCTCAGGACATGGAAGTGCAGTCTTTACCAAGACGTTGGTGTTGTGGGTCCAGGTGAGGTTGGTGGAGATGTGAGTGCCCAGAAAACCTTGAGAAACCTGAAGGCAAAGACAGATCCCACCTATACTCCATTTATAATTAGAGGGGAGTGGACCTATCTGTTCCTCCAGAAGTCCATTATGAATTCTTTTGTCTTAAGGACGCTCAGCTTCACATTATTTTCTAAACACCAGCGGGACAAGTTCTCTATCTCCGCCCTGTATCTCTGATCTCTGATCTCCTTCAGGGATCAGCCCAACGTCATTGGCATGCTTGACAATGAGGTTGGTTGGGTGGATTGATGTGCAGTCTGATGTGTACTGGGCGTAAAGTAGGAGGCTGAGAACACAGCCCTGCAGGGATCCAGTGCTGAGTAACATTTGGGGGTCTGGTCACCTAGTCAGACTGATTTGAGGCCGGTTGGTGAAAAAAGGTGGTCACACCAAATATTGACTCATTAGAATCGTACAAACTGTGTTCTTGACTTATGTACAGTATATCCTTATGTTTGTACCTTTGAAACAAGCCGTACTAAATAAAAGCACAACATTAATCTCTCTGATCTCTGCCTTTCAACATCTTTCAGTATGGCGTTCCAAACTGTAGGTCAGCAACGGCCCTTCGCCGCGAGCTCTCCCCAAGCTCTGAGGACGAGAGTCCGTTAACGGTCAAATTCATAAAAATGAGCTGCAAGTACTTCACTGATGGCATGGTAAGAAGGAAAAGTCATACTGGGTTAACAAGCAGAAATGTCCAAACTGGTGAATTATTGCATCTCATGTATGAAGTTAGACTTATTTTAATTTTTTATAATTCCACACTGGGGGAAATTTCCTTGTTACAGCAGCACAAGGAACAGTAAAAAAAGGGGAATTAAAGATGTACTAGAAAACAATGGTGTACAAAACAAGACAAAATACTACACTATATACAGATGGTTACTATATAAGGTAAAATGCAATTGGAAACATCAATATTTAGTTTTGTCTTTGATCAAATTGTCACCCTCTTGCTGCCTCTTTGTGCATTTTGATTTTCCAGGGTGTTGTTGGAGGCGTGTTAATTGTGACGCCCAACAACATCATGTTTGATCCGCACAAGTCGGACCCCCTGGTGATCGAGCACGGGTGTGAGGAATACGGCCTCATCTGCCCAATGGGGGAGGTCGTCTCTGTAGCGCTGTACGACGACGTGTCGCGCATGAAGCTCAAGGACGCTCTGCCATCGTAAGACCTCTCTCCGTGTCACTTGCCACATTTCCTCCTTCGCTAACCGTTCCTCTCAACTCGATTCTTATTCCTCCTTTTTTGTTCCTCCTTCCCGTTTCTGTTTTATGAGAAATAAACTGCAAACTAAGATATTATGAGCCCTTCAAGCTTTTCAACGTGTTTCCTAACATGCTCCTGAGATTGTCATCTTAGCTTTGTTTCACTCTTTCCTCCATAGCTGTTAATCAAAACTCTCTCCAGTGCAAGATCAGACTTTTTACTTTCCCATTTTCACCTTTTTTGTTCTGTTTAAGCTTTAAGTTGCTGTTTCACATCACATTTACTACTTTTAAGTTGTATACCACATTAATTTCTGTTGGGCATTTTTCTTTTTTCTTTTGTTTTCCCCTCTTTTTTTTTTTTTTTTT